GTTGCATTGACAAGTAGTAGGCAGACTGTAGCTGCGTAGGAAGCAGGCTGGGCGTCGAGCGCCAAGTAGGGAGATAGGGCCTGGACACTCATGTTGGTGGTGGCGAGAGAAAGCTCTCATTGACATTGGTTTTCAGTGTTACGATCCTTCATTGGTGTTATATTGGTGCATTTCTACTTTCTGGACACTCTGATACTATTTGGCTTTCAATGTGATTGTGCACTCTGGACATTGTCATCTCGCTATTGCTCATTTTCCTTGCATTATCTTATTAATCCCGTAAAACATGTTTGTTTTCAAAACAATGAATAGGCAAAGATTTCCCTGCTGAGTCGCATCAAAGTCCAGAGCACAGCAAAAGAACAGATGTTGTGTTTTTTTCTTAATAATCGTTTTTCTTATTTTCATCAATTTTGATTGGCTTTTTTTGCATCCAAAGCGTATTTTATTGAAGTTCATCATACATACTAAATAGAAGTGCAAAACAACCAAACCCAAAATAAAAAAAGAGGAGCGCAGCTTGTGCACAATCAATTGTTTTTCAAGTCTTTGATAGCTACTTTACCAAAATGGATTAACAAATATAAAATATCAAAAAAGGAAATTTCAAATTTGTATATATACCAACCCAGACAATCTTTTTCAAATGTTCTTTTTTTTAAAAAATCATACGAACACAAGATTTCGAGTTTTAATCGATATTTGTGGAGTTGATCATCCTTCTCGAAAAGAGGCCGCTTTATCTTATACAGGTGCCTTCACACTAGAGTCAAGAATCTATGATCTTGAATCTTCTTATGCAGAAGACTCGTCAATATTTGGTGGTCGATTGTATCGAAGCATCTGGACCTTCGGCCTTCTATGTACCAGACAGCCGCCCCTCGAAAATCTCGGCAATTAGGAGGTGTTGCTGCAATAGGTCTTGTCTTTGTTTCACTATTTCCTTTACCTTTTATTAACACTTCATACGTACGAAGTTCAACTTTTAGAAGTCTGCACTGCGACGAAAATTGACTGCTCATCAGCGAATCGATCACACCATGAAATTGGACTCAACAGGGAATTCTACTGGACAACAAAGTCGATTCCGCCAACTGGTCTGCAGACTGCGCAGCAACAAAAAATGGACTGCACAGCAAGCTCAAAACTCATAACTTTTGTCTTTTTTTTTTTACTAACTAATCACATTTGCTGCGAAAAGAAGGGGAGGGCAGAGGTGAGGGGGCGGAGGGGAGGAGGGGGGTGGAGCGGCGGAGGGTGGGGGGCGCTAGGGAGGAGGGGGGGGAGACGCAGGTACTTTTCTTTTTTTTTTACTAATGTGAGGACTGTGTCCTCAGGGGGGCTTATGCAACATGCATATCTTCTGAAATGTGCCCCCCCCAGCAAACCCCGCGCCCCCCCTAAGTGAAGGCGAGCCTGAATATTCACAAGAGGCCCTTATCTGAGTTATCTCAGCTTTTTCCAAAGTGGGTCTCAGACAGTTGCTGCACGACACTTGGTTGACGTGCAACCTGGGCCTGACCCTGGGCTCTTCCAGAAGATGCAACTGCGCCAGGCAGTTGAGCCCAGGGCCCGAGTGGTTGTGCGCTGGGCACCCGCATATTGAGGCCGACACATCATGAAGTGGCCTCGGGCCAACGAAAAAGCAGCATTGTCATCGTATCTACCCAGTGGGCCAGTGCAAATGCAGCAAAAATTCGGAGCCTGGAAAACTCTGGGTGTGCCCAACTGAAAAGGGCCCAGTCTTACGGACTCCACCAGGGCTCGATCCCTGGTCTATCTTTTTGCTGTTTCTGCTGCATCCCATTTTCGGCCTGGCACCCTTTTTTTCCAAACCCCTCCTTTGGTACCGTCGGATTTTGGACAACTGGCGCCATGCTGCAATTCGGGTGCTACTTTCAAATACCGCATTTTTCAGTTCCGCCCTCGGGGCTTTTGCGGAAATGCCCCTGGTACCATACGTGTCACCAGTACTTATACCGGCTCCCTGTACAGTACGGGGACCACTCTCGTACCAATTTTCTGCTTCTGTACTCGTACTCAGTGTGACTTACTGTTTCCGCATTCGAAATCCAAGACTTCGTGTAACGAGCGCGAGGCTGAGGGAGACAGGGAGAGCCGAGGGAGAGGAGAGGGAGAGAGAGAGAGTGAGAGCACACACACACACTCGCTTACTCGGCACGACTGAGGGTCGGATGCAAACACAGTGGCAAGGACACAAAGTCGAAGTCTTGGATTCCTAATGCCGAAACAGGAGCAAGTCAGACTGGGTACGAGTACAGCAGCTGGAAACTGGTACGAGACTGGTCCCCGTACTGTACTGGGCACCGGTATAAGTACCGGGTGTCCGGTACAGTACCGGGGGCAGATCTGCAAAAACCCCGAGGGCAGAACTGAAAAGTGCGGTATTTCAAAGTGGCGCCCGAATTGCAGCATGGCGCCAGTTGTCCAAAATCCGATGGTACTAAAGGAGGGGTTTGGAAAAAGGGTGCCAGGCCGAAAACGGGAAGCAGCAGAAACAGCAAAAGGATGGACCAGGGATTGAGCCCTGGCGGAGTCCGTAACACTATCCCCTCCCTCTAGAAGCCAACGGCTCGGCTGCCAAAAGTCATGAAGCCATGCTGAAAGCTGTGAAGGACGGGATGGGGCCGATCACTGGTCAACAAGTCGAAGGAGGAAGAGGGGTATAATGTAGGTGATAAGGCACAGGGTGTCGTGTTGGTGGGTTGTGAACAGGGCTATCCTACYGGTGGGCTAAGGGTATTGCRGGGAAACAGGATAGTCCTATTGATATTCTACAAGGGGGAGCAGGTAACAGGATATCCTACTGATGTTCTACAAGGGTGAACAGGGGATAGGGTATTCCTACTGATGTTCTACAAGGGTGAACAGGGGATAGGGTATTCCTA